CAGCGAGCAGTCCTCCCCCGCTATGTCTGGGTCCTGAGTGCCCCTGCGGCATCACACAGGGGAGAGGTGTTTGCCGCCCTGCTGGAGCCTCATAGCTCGTCGGCATCTGTCAGTGCTCAGGGCCCAAGGTGGAAGGGTGCACGTTCACTGCATGCCATGAAAAATGGGCAGGATGCTGTGTCCAAGTGCAAACAGGAATTGGACTCTGATTCCAGACCTGCCAGAGTGTCGATCGCTTAGCAGAACTCAGGGAAGATCCCAACCATGTTCTCCCATGAAGGAGATTTGAGAGTTAAATAGGATTATGGTAGCATTTTAAACAGTGGGTCAGAAATGCAGAAAAACAAGGTAACATATTCTTCTAGTTGTGATATTCTGTGTTACTCTCCTGTGAATCTTGCCCAGCACGTTTATCAAGTCTATCTTCCAACCAGGCATCTCTTTGGGTGTCTGAGAGGTGTGCTGCTTTGGAGAGAGGCTGCTTGTAAAGTAGCGATATGAACAAATGGCTTTCTTCGCTTTTCCAGATTGGGATCACCCTGCAGCCCGTGGCGCTCCACAAGAATGTGTATGCATCCGTGGTGGAGGACATGATCCTGAAGGTGGGTGCCTGCAGGGGCTGCCAGCCAGGAAGGATGGTTGTGTCCCAAGCGATTTGGAGTAAAGGCCAAGGACAGAAAGGAACACACATAACAGGCTTTAAAACTTCTCATCTTATTTGGGCCTAAGTTCTCCTTTTTGTTTTTCTTCTGATATTTCAATGGACTAAGTTATGTTTCCTCTAAATGCTCATGTCACTCTGAGGACATATTTTTCCATGTGGTTCCAGGTACTTCCTAAGACGTGCTCTGGGGTGGTGGTCAGTGTGCTCGTTGCTTTAGGAGGCGGCAGGGACAAAGCCTAGGGTTTTTCCTCCATGTCTCCACAGTCAACAGCCCCAGCTGTCCTCACCCTGGTAAGGGGACGGAAATGCTGCAGCCTCTTTCCCCAGCCTGATCCTAGCTCAGCATTTCCTTTCCCCATGGATGCTCTCCAGAAATAGGGAAACCTCAGTAACAGCTGCTTTCCTTAAAAACAATGTCCGGGGCTGGGCACAGTGACTCACGCCTGTAATCCCAGCACTTTGGAAGGCCAAGGCAAGCAAATCACTTAAGGTCAGGAGTTTGAGACCAGCCTGGCCAACATGGTGAAACCCCGTCTCTACTGAAAATAAAAACATTAGCCTGGCATGGTGGCACTCACCTAGTACTCCAGCTACTTGGGAGGCTGAGGCAGGAGAATCGTTTGAACCTGGGAGGCAGAGGTTGCAGTGAGCTGATATCGTGCCACTGCACTCCAGCCTGGGCAACAGAGGGAGGCTCCATCTCAAAATAAGTAAGTAAGTAAATAAATAGAACAATGAATAATGAAAATCACTCTAGTTCACAATTTCTCAGAATCATGGCCTTTATCATTTATGAGACCTTTATTATTATTGAGACCTTTTAATTTTTCATTAAGGACTTTTTAATCCCTAGTTGCAGTAGTTTCAAACATTTGGGGTAAGGGATGGGGTCAGATGCGTCCCTTCTTGCCAGCAAGCAGATGGCCATTTTGAAGAACAATAGCATTTTCTATTGTAGGCTACAGAACAGCTGGTGAGTGATATCCTGAGACAGGCCTTGGCAGTTGGATACCAGACAGCTTCTCACAACAGGTATTACTATCTCTGGAGTCTGTGGTATGAGGCTTTACACCTCTTTCCTCACAGTTGAATCGCCCATGCAGGTGTTTTATATGACTTCAATCCAGTAGGAGATGGCGTGAGTGCTAGGACACTCTCAGAGCCAGATGACTCAAGGGTCTGCCCTGTCATTCTCAGAGAAGCTCGTGGTTGTGAAAGCTCACTCAGCGTTGCTCAGAGGGTTCTGTCCCTCCCCCACATTACTTCACAGACAGCTGGGCCTCTGTTCTGTTACAGGGTTGAATACATACTAGCTTTGCAACTAAAGATAACGTGTCCATTACATGTCAGACATGAGGGCCAAGCGTTGTATATATTACCTAATTTTTCATTGCAGAACGATTATTCCCTTTTTTAAAAACCAGGCAACTAGGCTTTGAGAGGTGATCTTGCCCAGCTTTCCCAGTAGATACAGTGTGGATCTGGGCTCTGGGCACTGAGGCCCCGGGCTCCCCACTGCCCTTTGCTGACTCTCATTGTCTTTGATTGAGACAGAGTTTCAGTCTTTTCCTGGGCCCTGCAAGGATGGGAGATGGGCCACGTTCGCTTTGCTTTCAGAGGAAACAAAGATTATTTTATTGCATTATGCTAAAGGCTGTCACAAACTTACAAAATTTTAGCAAAGTGCCTGAGGACATCATGAAGAGGCCTAAATCAGGGGAATATTAGACGAAACTTCACAGGAATATATCAGACAACATAAAAGGAAGGGGAACCAAGAGTTCCGGTCCTGCTGCCCGCCATCCTATTTGAACCCCCAAGTGAGCCAGGGGCATCCTGTGGCCCCTTCCCACCTCCGTGATCCCTGTTCTGGAGAGGTAGAGTGACTGGGGTGCTTTTGATGGAACAGTTAACATCACGCCTGGCGCGGTGTGTCTCCATCTCCCCTCTCTCCAGGAGGGGGAAATAGTCCCAGGGTTTTGTGGTGCTTTGACTCGGCTCTTGGTGTGTTGAGATCACTCACTAGTGTCATTCTGTTCTGCCATCCACTTTCTCTTTTTGCAGTCCTCAGAATCTTTTTTCCTAATTGTTGAACCAGCCTTTTGACATTCTTCTCAGGCCTGTGAGTAGGAAGGCAGACGTGAGCCCTGACTTGCGCAGTGACTGGGGGGAGGGCAGATCCCCCACTCAGAGTGCCCCTAAGCTATGCCTGTGGCTAAGGAGCCCTCTCCCCAGACCTCTGCCTGGGATGGTCCCTGCGGTGAGTTAAGTGAATAAATGAGATGTGTGTGAGAGAGTTTCACCTGGTAACACCCTTTGTTTTTTGGACCAGGATTCCCAAAGAAATTACAGTGAGTAATATTCACCAGGCCATTTGCAACATTCCTTTTCTGGACTTCCTCACAAACAAACACATGGGAATATTGAATGAGGACCAGTGAATGGAGTGAGGTGCCCTTGGAGAAGCGGGATTTGAAGGCGCAGCGAGGCTGAGGACCTGCTGCTCGGGGAGGAGGGGGTTTCCGGCGCGCCTCGGGATGTCCCAGCCACCCAGCCGTTGCTGCCGCCTCCTCCCGACTTCCAGCAGTGTGCTCCCTCCAGACGAGATCCTCCTAGGACAGGAGTTGGTTTTCTGAGCGTGGAGTGAAGCCGTGGGTGGATACGTGCTTTGCTGGCCAGCGTTTCTGCCGTCTCTGTGAAAGCCCCGTGAGAGCCGGGCCAGGCCGTGTGCCTCAGGTCCTCCCTGGGTGTGCTCAAGGGGGCTCCTTGGGCCCGCCTCCCCAGGAGGTGGAAAATGAATGGCAGGCTAGAGATGTCACCCATTTTGTGGGCTGGAGTTAGCAGCAGCTCCAGCAGTTACCCTGAAGAGACACTGGGCTTCAGCCAGCAAGTGGTTCTCTTCCCTGCCTGGCCTTACTGTGGAGGGGCTGTACTCTCAGCCCAAGTGAGTCAGCTACAGGAAGAGGCCATACCTAGAGCAAAGAACCGTGGAGGCCTGAGAGACTGCAGACTGAGAATTCCCTTTTTGAGCACAGGAACATTACTAGAACCACTGTCAAAGCAGTGGCAAGAGACAGCGAGACCCCAGCATGGGTCAGGAAGAGGTTTGATTATAACCAAGAAAACTGTGACTATGCTAGGAATATAGGACAGTGTGCACCGGTCCTGGACACTTGGCAGAAGCATAGCCGTGTGACGTGTGTGGAGCAGATCGCAGGCTCCACGCCGTCTGCAGGAGCTTCTGCTGCTGACCTTGTGCTGAGTGGGCAGTGGAGAGCAGACCCCTGGCAGGCCCTGCTGTGGTTGCCTATCTTATCCACAGTCGTGTATCCTCTTCTCTGTTTTCCCAAGAAGAAAAAAGTAGTATTTAAAAGAAAAACCAATGAGTGCCTTAAAGTTGGGGAAGTGACTGCCCATACCTAGAAGCAGCGAGATTAGGCTGCATCCATAATCAAAGGCCCCTCGATGAGAGGGAGCAGGAAGCAGGGGAGCAGGTGGCGCTGCCTGGCGCCCGGGCCACTGGCGGTTCCCTGTCCCAGACTTCCTAACGGCCTGTGCGGAAGGCAGAATGAAGGATGCATGCTCAGCCAGAAATCTATTCCTCTTCCACTCAAGGAAAATCAGAAACCTGTGAGTCAGAATCAGAAGCTTATCCAAGCAACAGAATTCCTGTTTTCATGGGTCCTGTAGATGTTTGAGTCAGGTAGATAAGGCAGGGAGTGACTGAATAAAATCCGCCTTTTAAATTCAGCATCTGGGCCGGGCATGCTGGCTCACAGCTGTAATCCCAGCACTTTGGGAGGCCGAGGCAGTTGGATCACTTGAGGCCGGGAGATTGAGACCAGCCTAACCAACATGATGAAACCCCATCATCTCTACTAATTAAAAAATTAGCCAGGCATGGTGGCAGGCTCCTGTAATCCTAGCTAATCAGGAGGCTGAGGCAGGAGAATCACTTGAACCCAGGTGGTCGAGGTTGTAGTGAGCCGAGATCTCACTCCAGCCTGGGGGACAGAGTGAGACCCCATCTCAAAAATAAATAATAACAGCATCTGAGGGCTGCAAGTGCAGAAGGAATCTATTCTAAGTAGGGCATAGGGCACACACTGGCTTAACAGTTGGGTATATAAGGCTCAGATGTCTGTGTGTGAACTGCTATAAGCAAGGTTCATAGGGAAGTGGGTTGATCCCTTCTGCTAAGTGGACTGTGAGGTCTACAGGGTGGAGGGAGAAAGGTCTGATGCAGATGAGAACAGATTTATTACAGGCCTGAAAGCCTAAAGAAATTATCTTTTTGCAAAAGAAACATTAAATGATTTAGCAGTCTCCACATGTGTAATGTTTCAAATGTTTATCATAACGTGTATAATTGTGTAACAAAATTGTCTACAATAAATCTTTTGGTATTTGTGGTGGGTCTTTCTGAGTCTGAGGTGCTGTACTCAGGCAGGGTTCCCCTTGCACTATGTTTAAATTGCAACCATACAAGATAAAGGATTACAGTCACGTAAAAGTCTAAAAAAACAAAATTGGAAATGAGCATTATTATTTCTGGCAGCGTGGGGCAAAAGAAAACTGCATAAATTAGCTCAGAGCTTCCTTAAAGCCAAGGCAAAGAGAGAAATCAGCTCCGAATGTCTAACAAGAAACATACCGGTTTATCTGGCAGGATAAACTTGGACCGTGAGGTCTGAAAGAAGTTACTCCTGTGACAGTCATGCCGTGACCATCTGCTGCAAAGCATATGGCTAAAAAATAACGAAAAGTGCAGAAACAGAAGAGCTGAAAGATTTTGAAAGCTTTGGTTCTTTAAAGGCGAGAATTTCTGCAAGGAGGCTCCAGTCCAAGCTTGTAACTTTCTGGGGACCATATTTCATTGAGAGTCAGAATGGAGAGACAAGTGGTCTGGAGGCTGGGAGTTAGGGGTGTGCCTGGGCTTACCTTCATAAATGTTTGTTTTGTTGGCCAAGCTTTGGGCAGGAGCGACAGAGCAGGCACAGATCTGTGTCACAGGTGGCACCTTACATGACTTGCAGTCCATGTGACTGGTTGAAGGAGCCAGCCCCATGTGAACGGTGCCAGCAAGCTGGTTTTTGGCTTCATCTTGACCTTGTTCAGAGGGGAAGTTCTTCCATCTGCCTGGGGTGGGCTGTAGGGCCTAGCTTTTCTCAAAAGCTGCTTTTGAGAACTTGTCCTGAGTCCTGTCCCATGGAGCACAGAGAGGTGAGACCTTGATATAAGTGTCTCAACCTCGTCTCTACAAAATTTAGTCGGGTGTGGTGGCAGGCGCCTGTAATCCCAGCTACTTGGGAGGCTGAGGTGGGAGAATCACTTAAACACTTACTGGGAGGCCGAGGCAGGAGAATCGCTTGAACTCAGGAAGTGGAGGTTGCAGTGAGCCGAGATCATGTCATTGCACTCCAGCCTGGGCAACAGAGCAAGATTCCATCTCAGAAAAAAAAAGAAAAAAGCCAGGCATGGTGGCCCTGTGGTCCCAACTACTCCAGAGGCTGAGGGGGGAGGATCGTTTGAGACCAGAAGGTTGAGGCTGCAGTCAGCAGTGTTCTCACCACTGCACTCTAGCCTGGGCGACAAAGCAGGACCCTGTCTTGATGATGATGATGATGGTGCACCTTCAGGAAGACTGTGCATTGCAGAAAGGCTCTGGGGTATCTGTCTGCCTCACAGTCAGGCCTGGTGGGTGTGCTGAGGCCTTCAATGCTGCTGCCCACCAGCACTGCCAGGAAGGGGCGGGCCCAGCTGGTCCTGGCTGAGGTGCAGCAGAGCTGAGCGGCCCATTATTGGAACAAACAAGCATCCTAGGCGCTGTGCAGGGTGACACTGGGCGGGAGGGGGTGAGGGGCTGTGAGCACAGAGCAGCGAGCTGGAGGATGCTGGGAGCTGCAGGTGGGAAGAGCTGGCTCTCGGGCAAGTGAGGCAGCAAAGACTAATCCTAACACCTATGCCTTGGTTACTTCCTGTACTGAGCACTCCACCCATAAACACGGATGCTCTTGGCAAGCCACACAGTGTAGCTGGTAGCATCCTTGCTTTTCGGGTGAAGGAACGGAACTCCAATTGCTCCCAGCTAGCAAGGGGAAGTTAGGATTGGGGTCTGAGAGGAGCTTCAGAGAATCCCTTTACCCGAGGTGCCTGGGTGAGTGCAGGGGACAGGCTGGGTTCTGTGGACTGTCCCTGACACGTGCCCTGCAGCTCACAGCAAGAACTGCTCAGGATCTGGGGTGTGGCAGCAGCTGGGCCAAACTGAAGTGCTTAGCACCAAGAGACTGGTGGAAAAGGATGAGAAGACTTGTGTTTATCATTTAAATTGAAACTACATTTTTGCATTTTAGTAAAATCTGAGGTTGTACAGTTTAATCCCATTTCCCACAGAACACTCAGCAGGCAGCCCCTTTTCTCTTAGAAACATCAGACGTGTAAGCCGTGAAGTCTGAAACACCAGAAGCCCTTAGGTAAGCGCATAAAATGTGGGTTTTGTTAGAGTGAGCCTCTCATCAAGAGCGTTTTCTTTGCTGGCATGAGGGGAGGGCTGTGCCTGCCAGGCCTAGCACCTGGGAGGGCTGCTGCATAGGCAGCCAGAGCCGCAGGCACGGCCCCACCTGCATGTCGTGGCTCTGAGGCCCAAGTGCCACCACCTGCAGCTTAGACGTCAGACTAGAGTCACTTGGGGGCTAGAGAGCAAGAAAGATGCAAAGGGAAATCCACAAATTGCCTTCCTGAAGATGGTCCCCAGCTTGTGCCTCTGAGCTTTAAAAAGGGATGTAGACCCTTCAAATGTTTGAAGGGCTGCTGTGCAAAGAAGGGACCAGGCATGACCTTTGTGACCACGCTGGTTGGCATTTATGGAGGAAGTTAGGAGAGCTTGCCAGAGAAAATCAACTACCTCCTCAAAAGGTGGTGAGTCCCCATCACTACGCGCGAGCAGGGTAGACAGGAAGAGAAGGGTTGGTGCAGATGCCATTTTAAGGTATTTCGGGGAGTGAGGCAAATGCCACCTTCCCAAAAATGCTCCCAGTTCTTAGCCAGCATGTATGGCAGTGCCTTTCTCGTCATCCTTATGTTAGGGGGAAAAATAATTAGTAATAAAATGTGGACTGAGTCTTAGACAGTTACCACAGGCAAAAGTGATTCATTCAATCCCAAGAAATGTTTTGTTAAAATGTGAGGCTCATTGTGGCCATAAGGAGGTCTGTGAGGTGGAGGCCCCGTGACTGATGGTCTGTTTCTTCTGGAAACTTCCTCCTGGACACTCAGCATCACCATGAGTCATGCAGGTGACGGCTCAAGATGCCTACAGCTTCAACCACAGGGGCCATTTGTAGGAAAAGCCAAGGGTCTTACCTTGGATTTGCATGGGTTGTAAAATCAATTAAGTGGTCATGCCTCCTGGGAGACCCACCAGAAGTGGACGTTACCGGTTCTTCAAGGGCTGATGCGTCCACATTCCTCAGCTTCTGTGGACCAGTTCGTTCCCAGTTGACTTGATCCTCAGGCTCCTCAGATGGCCACATGGCGGTCACACACATGTGAGCCTTCTGTGGGCTTCTCGGGAGGATTGGCTGAGCTGGGTGTGCCAGGTCTGTTGGTGTGTCTGCTCTACACCAGCACTTGGTCCCTGGCGACAGCTCTGACAGGGCTGTGCCCTCCAGGAGGGGCCCATGCCCTGCTCTCACCTGGCCCAGCGGCAGTGGGTCCTGAGGCTGCTCCCCAGTCCTCTCAGCAGCCATGGTGTCACGGCGCAGGCAGTCACACGTTGAGAATCCGTGGCGCTGAGGCCTGAAAGATGGCGGAGGGGTTAGGAGTGAACTTCTTCCTCACCTCTGGGACCTGAAAAATGAAGTGTGGCCACATTATCAGTGGGACTTTTCCTTTACTCCATACCCCCCAACACCTGGAAAGAATGCCCTCCCACCCTCTTCATCCTCCAGGAGTTGAGACCTGAAGGGCCAGCGGGGACTTCACACTGTGAGCCACAGGCATTGCTGCGTGAGGGGCTCAGTGGCACACGGACCTCCCATTCTGCTCCCGGAACCACCTGGGAGTCAGGGAGCTCTGTTCCTGCCTGCAGCTCCCAGCACCCTCCAGCTCGCTGCCCCATGCTCACAGCCCCAGCCGCCTCCCGCGCAGTGTCACCCTGCACAGCACCCGGGTGCTTGTTTGCTCCGCCCCTGCTCCTTTCCAGCGCCTTTCCTCTTACGCAGATGCTCTGAGTGTGGAGGGGCTGGTCACTTGTGCCCGTGGTCAACGATAAGATGGAGATTTAGGAGGCACAGAGCCTGCTCCCCAGACACCAGCACCAGAGAGGCACCCAGCTGGCTAGGACAAAGAAGTGCCCTGGGTCTTTGTTCGGGACATCTGGTTGGGCACTGCTGTCCCTGGTCATAATGCCATTTTACAACATGAAAATCTGGCTCCTAATCCCTGCCCTGGGAAAGAGGTTTCTGTACCCACAGCCCTGGCACCAGCCTCAGGCTGACCTGGAAGCCCGCCCCTGGGCTGCTGTCCCGTCCCGAACCGTGGGTTGTGATGACTCCGGCTGGTTTTGCTTTTGTGGGTCTTGAGGGCATCACTGCAGTCCAAGCCTGGAATTCCTGTCTAGAACAGAGACCAGGGTCACAACCTCGTACAGGGTCAGCCAACCCCTTCCCCCACTCCCCAGGGCTACGGCTTTGCCCGTTCACAGCCCTGTCCACTGCTAAAACCCTCCCGAGCTCCAAGCAGTCCTTATCCTCTTCCCAAAGACACAACCGGCTCGCCAGTGCACTCCCAGGCAGGCTCAGCTCCCGGAGAAAGGAGGTATGCAGCCACCCTGCCCTCACCTCAGCCATCTGCTGGGTCATCTGGGCTCACCCCAGCCCCTAAGGAAGCAGGAGAGGAAACTTATTCTCACATTACAGGTGAGCGGCAGGCTCAGAGCAGAGCCCAGTCAGCACCTGGTACTGCCGAGTCTTGGAGACGGGACCAGACCCAGTGCACCTGCCCCCTGTGCTTCTCCCACAGCTGCCCCCGAAGCCAGGTGGCTTCAGGCCCCTTATGCCTGAAAAGGAATTGCTCTCAGCATTGGGCACAACCCTGGCCTGCCAAACCTGCTTAAGACCAAAAAGAAAAATAAGGCTCAGAACTTTTTTTGTTTTTTTTGAGACGGAGTTTCGCTCTTGTTACCCAGGCTGGAGTGCAATGGCACGATCTCAGCTCACTGCAACCTCCGCCTCCTGGGTTCAGGCAATTCTCCTGCCTCAGCCTCCTGACTAGCTGGGATTACAGGCATGCGCCACCATGCCCAGCTAATTTTTTGTATTTTTAGTAGAGACGGGGTTTCACCATGGTGACCAGGATGGTCTCGATCTCTTGACCTTGTGATCCACCCGCCTCGGCCTCCCAAAGTGAGAACTTTGTTTTTTTATACTTTGTCTTATCAACTCATGTAGAGAAGGGAACACAATGACCATCTCAAAAAACTCCCGATCTTTGCACAGCTCTCTGCATGTTGGAGGGAGTGGGTCATGCGCTCTTGCTGAGCCTGTGGTGGGGAGGGTGGCGTGGTGGGGGAAGGCAGCCTCCTGGAGGGAGAGGATGAGGCTGGCACCGCTAGCTCCATGTCCTGGGAGCAGCTTTCTTGATGAAAAGACTGCCTCCATTTATCTGAACAAAAGGGACCTCCTCTAATTCTACCCACTCTCTGCAAGACGGGGAGCTCAGGAGGGCAGAAGTCCCTGTGTCCTAGGAGCACCTGGCCGAGGTGATGGTGTCCAGCCAGCCCGGGCTGGCACCCACATGCACAGGGTTGCTTCTGCCCAGGTTGGATTCTGCTGCAGTTGGGCTTCAGGCCCTGAGGTCAACAAAGCTGCCTTTCTCCTTGGCAGTTGCACAGCTGGGGCGCCACTGGGCAGGCTGCATGGGCAGGGAATGGATGTGTCCATGGCCAGCACTTGGGTGCCAGGAGGAGAGCTGGGCCGGGCCCCATCAGGTAATTTTCACTCCCGAAGCTTCAAGGTTCAAAAGACCAGCTGCCCAAACCATCTGCTGCTCTGTTTCTCCTGGGGAAGCAGGTTGGTCCTACCCTGGGTGTGCCCTTCTGTCCCCAAAACACCTCGCATGCCGATGCTCAGCCTTGGGCCTGGCATCCTAAGCCTGCTGCTCTGAGGTGGCTGCAGGGGTGCCAGAGCAGGAAGTGACAAGAGCCATAGACTACAGCTATCCTGGCAGCCGCCGGAGGAGGGGCCCAGGTCTGGAGCCCAGGTCAGAGTTGCAGGACCCGGTAACTGCCTGGAGGGAAAGAAAACAGACTAATGGCTCAGGCCAAGAAGATGAACAAGAAATGCAGGGCCGCTTTGCCCCCTTACAGTGTTCCAGCATGTTCCACTGGCCACTTCCTGTGGGCTTCAGCAGAACCTGGGGGCTGTAGTCCTTCCTGCCAGGGCCAGAGCTGCCCAGGGCACTGCGGAGAGCTCCGGATGGAGGATCAGGAGGCCTGGGTCTCAGCCCAAATACGGCTTCAGACAAATTGCTTAACTAAAAGTGGGGCTGCTGACCCACATGCCTGAGGTCATGAGTCTTTGCAGCAGGCACTCAGAAAAGTGGGGCCGAGTCTTGTGGAACTTGAACAGTCAGGCCTTTGACCTGCCTAGAAGGAAGGAGGGAAACGACCAGGGAGCAAGGACTGTCTTCCAGAAGTGGGCAGGGCGAGCACCTGGGCCAAAGGTGTTGAACAGTCTGGAGGAGGAATCTGGAGGGAGCCAGGCTGGCGGTGGGAGGAGCTGCTGTGCCCATGTGGCCAGGCCAGCAAGGCAGGCCCTGCAGGGGTGCAGTGGAGGCCTGGAGAGCTCTGGGCACTCACTCGAGAACCCTGGGTTATGAGCGGCCACATAGCACTCATCTTCGGGAATCCTGGCTGTTTGTTTCCTTTGCTTTCTGAGTTTCTTTAAGGTTTGCTTAGATGATGTGCATCTTGCAAGACAATGCGGAATGGAGCGGCTTGTGCCAGGTCCCAGAGCTGGAAGGTGAGGGGTCCCAGAGGCCCACTGGCATGGCGCTGGGGTGCCACGTTCAACAGTGATCCTGTGTTTCTGCCCGAATTGAGGGCAGAGTCCAGGCGGCCAAGCTCTTGCTCTTCCTGCTTTTTGGATGAAGAAAGGGTCGGAGAGGCTGACCCACCTAGACTGACACAGCAGGAGGTGAGAGCTCCAGTGAGCCGACTCCTGTCTGTCAAGGCTCTTCCACGGCTGGCCTCGGGTACAGTTCAAGGAAGCAAGTGACTCCAAGGAGGCAGCTCTCAGGGGATGAAAACCTGGGGGGTTCAAGTTTGATCTCTGAGGCAAGTCAGATGGGCTCCGCTCCTTTCTCTGCCATTCAGAGCTGTGCCAGCTTCGCAGTTTCCTCATCTGTAGAATGGGAATGGCAAGCATTCCACGAAGGCCACAGGGGCTAATCTCGGGGTGCTGAGCCCAGCGCCTTCTGTGCCTTAAAGCAGAGAAGGTGACAGCTAGCACCTTTACTGCCACCAGAGCTGGGAGGGCTCGGGAGGGCATTCACTCACCAGATGTTCCACACAGATGAGGGACTGCTGCATTCATTCATTCATTCATTTTTTGAGACAGAGTCTTACTCTGTCACCCAGGCTGGAGTGCAGTGGCACATCGTGGCTCACTGCAACCTCCACGTCCCAGGTTCAAGCGATTCTCCTGCCTCAACCTCCCAAGTAGCTGGGATTACAGGCACCCACCACCACAACTGGCTAATTTTTGTATTTTTAGTAGAGACAGGGTTTCACCATGTTGTTCAGGCTGGTCTCAAACTCCTGACCTCGTGATCCACCTGCCTTGGCCTCCCAAAGTGCTGGGATTACAGGCATTATCCACTGTATCCAGGCTGGTTTTTAAAACTAATAAAATTGGGGGGATAAGTTCATACCTTTTGGTTCTTTAATTCCACAGGTAGGAATTTATCCCAAAGAAATGATTATATGAACAAAGATTTAGCTATAAGGGTGCTTATCACAGAAGTTATTTTTTGGCCGGGCAAAGTGGCTCACGCCTGTAATCCCAGCACTTTGGGAGGCCGGGATGGGTGGATCACTTTGGGAGGTCATGAGTTCAAGACCATCTTGGCCAACATGGTGAAACCCCATCTCTACTAAAAATATAAAAATTAGGACAGGTGCAGTGGCCTGTAATCCTAGCACTTTGGGAGGCCAAGGCTGGTGGATCATGAGGTCAGGAGTTGGAGACCACCCTGGCCAGCATAGTGAAACCCCATCTCTACTAAAAATTAGCTGGATGTGGTGGAGGGTGTCTGTAGTCCTAGCTACTCAGGAGACTAAGGCAGGAGAATCACTGGAACCCAGGAGGTGGACATTGCAGTGAGCAGAGACTGCACCACTGCACTACAACCTGGGCAGCAGAGTGAGACTCCGTCTTCAAAAAAAAAAAAAAAAAAGCGAAAAAGATAGGTAATACATAGACATGTTACAAAGGGAAAAAAAAAAAAAAAGCAGTGGTTCAAAAGAGCAGAGTGAAAAGCCTCCTCCCACCCCGGCAGTCCCCATCGCTCAAGTTCCTTTCCCCAACGGTACCATGTCAGACATCCATCAGAGACCTCTGTGCTTATCTGAGCATATGTGTGTATATTAATACCCCTTCTTAAAACACAAATAGCCTCCAGGCTGCTGTGCACCGTGCTTTTTTGGTACGAGTATATTTAAGATCGCATTCCGCGGCCGTGCTGCAATTACCCAGTCCCCTGCAGCAGCAGGACGGGGTTGTGGGACGACGTCTCCACGCATCTTACACTCCTGAGCTCCCACCCCACCTTGTAGGATGCCCGCAGGGAAAAGCCCTTTTGGTGAAACAGCTGCATCAAAGGAAAAGTAGTGGTTCCTAGCCCCACTTTAGAATACCCGAAATCGTCAGTGGTAAGGAAGCAGACAGATACAGCTTAGAGATGCAGAGGCGTATCCATAGGATAAAATACTGCATGTTTATTAAAATTCATATTGCAGAACATGTAGTAACACGGACTTCTACAACTGGTGGAAAGGAGCGTGCAGTAAGAATCTAGCCATGTAAAAAGCCACCAGTGCATATGCACCCAGTGCACGTCACGGAGTAGAAAGAACTCGTCTGGGGAGGGACTCAGGAGTTATTTATATTGTCATTTCTGTACTTTCCCATTTTTCTACGTTACTTATTGCAAGGGAAAAAGAACGCCCTCAGCTGTCCAGGACAGCTGCGCTGGGAGGCGGGAGGGCCCGCAGACTGTCTTAACTGAAAGCCGTCAGCAGTCCCTGCCACAGCGGGACCCTGAAGGGCACACCCACACAGGACCCTGCGCTCAGCCCTCACCCCCAACGCCCCCAAAGGGCAGTGACCGACGGGAGCTGGGTGCCTTGGCCTCCGCACCCCTTGCACGGCCAGGCCCGGTGGTGGGAGTGAAAGGGAGGCCATTCTGATGGCCACCCCCAGGAGGGCGCTGCGAGGACCGCGGTGCACTCCCGGCTCAGGGGTTCCGGAGCACTGAATCCGGGTACGGAGCAGCGAAGGCGACACCTGCAGTGCCCATGGACCACAAGGGGTGATCACTGAGGCCGCGTGGGATCTGGGGGTCACGGCGCCTCCGCCCTCCCACCACAGGGTGGGGTCTCGCTGCGGTCCCTCCTCAGCCCTTACCTGTACGACGTGGTCGCTGCTGCAGCCGCGTCTGCGTCTCCAACAGGCAGCACGTAGACCCCGCGGGCGCCGGGTGTGCGGGGCGCAGAGGACTTGTCCCTGCGGCCACCCGTCCCCGGCCCGCGCCCCGGCGGCACATCCCTGGGCCCGGCGGGCGCCGTCCACACGCCGAAGTCACGCTGGTACTGAGTGAGCGGCACGTCCCGGCCGCGGTCCCGGGCGCCCTCGGGAGGCTGGATTCTGCGCGAGGCGGCGCCACCCGGGCCCGGCTCCTCGCTGTCCAGGTCCGAGTAGCCGTGCAGGGTCAGCGGCACCGCCACGTCGGAGCGGTCCAGCTGGTTCCAGCGCCGCGCCAGGCAGCACAGGCGGCTGATGCAGGGCCACGCCATGCCAGCCCCGGCGCCCGCCGCCCAGCTCCCCGCGCGCACGGCGCTCCCGGCCGCGCCTCCCGCGCCCGGTGTCCCCGCCCCCGCGGCCCGCCCCGCGCCGCTGCAGCGCCGTCCCCCAAGGGTGGCGGTCCCGGGAGGGGGCGCACTCGGCAGCAGCCCCAGCTGGAGCTGGGTGGGGCGGGGCCGGGGGAAAGGCTACGCCGTCTCCAGGGGGCACTGGAAACCGCCTGCAGTCATTTACGAGGGTCCAACTTGAAGAATGCTCAGAATTGAATCCAAAGTCCCCTCAAAGTCGTCTTACAAACGGCCCTGTGCATTTGTGCCAGGTTGCACCGCAGGGACTCCGCGGGCATAGGGGCGGGTGCAGCAATGACGGCGTCAGGGAAGACTCGGGGCTCTGCTTCCCGGAGAACACGGATTTTCAGTCCGCCTGTGAGTCGCCGCCTACCTGCCTTTACAGTGCTAGTCTACACCTGTGGCAACCAATCTACTTTTCATTAGAATCGGCACTGGCCACCAATCGACCTTGCCCTGGGTTCTGAAATACCTAATGTTAAAGCATGGCCATTTGCAAAGGCGTTAGTTTTAGAAAGCGGCCACAGAACTGGCCACTAAGCTATGGAGTTCCCTTCCTCCTGCACCCACATGGCTGTTTTCAGGCCGAGCGGTTGAGGGATCCTCCAGCGGAAAGGCAGGTCTGTTCAATGCAAGACACAGGCTCAGACGACCCCCTGAGCGCCCACAAACGCCTTTCTGAATATCTGACACATGCCCTCAATATACACTGCAGACCAATTACTAATAACACTATTGAGACAGCATTAATTACCCAGAGCTCCATTTCAAGGTTGGACTTGGAAGGTATCCAGTCTGCGCCTGGCAGAGAGGACTGCGGAACAGCCCTGGCCAGTCAGAGAACAGATTCACTTCCCAAAACACTGCCTGTCTTAGCTTGAAGTTGTAGCAGAGTGACAAGACGGCTGGCCTGAAGTGGCAGCAGGCGCGGTGCCAGGTGTAGGGGACACCGGGGTCAGAGTGAACTGCCTTGGGGGAGTGTGCGCCGCGGCCCTGGGTTAGCCCTAGCAGATGATGCTTGTGACTCAAGTTCTCCATCTCGGAGGAAGAGAGAACTGCTTTCTTCTTATTCACTGATCACAGTCAAAGAGCACCTACTGTGTGCTAGGAATAATTCCGGGTGCCTTCAGGTGGTTTAGTGTGGTGGTCACAGATGGAAGGAAGTGTATGAACTCACAAAGCCAGGTCAGCATGAGGGAGGAGGGCTGGGAAGGCTGCACCTGCCACCTGTCGTGAGGGTGGTTGGGCCTGGTGGGAATGTAGGTCACAAGGGAGGAGGGTTCAGCAGAGGTAGCAGAGACCAGACCATGGAGGGTCTTGGTAGCCACACTAAGGAATTTTAGTTTTTCATGTCTGGAATGCGGGTGGCTCATGCCTACAATCCCAGCACTTTGGGAGGTCAAGGCAGGAGGACTGCTTCAGCCCAGGAGTTTGAGATCTGCCTGGGCAACATAGGGAGACCCTACCTCTGCAAAACCTTTAAAAAATAGCCAGGCGTGGTAGTGTGCGCCGGTAGTCCCAGTTACTTAGGAAACAGGCAGGAGGATCACTTGAGCCCAGGAGTTCAAGGCTACAGTGAGCTATGATTGCATCATTGCACTCCAGCCTGGACAAGAGAGAGAGAGACCCTGTCTCAAATAAAAGCTTTTCACAAGTGACCACAGAGGAATGACAGAGGTGTTTTCAGCACTCTGGCAGCCATATGGAGCAGCACAGGGACGCACTGGAGACCAGCTGGAGGAGCAGGCTCAACAGTGCAGGGACTAAGGGGTGGGCACCACCGCAGAGGCACAGGCACTGGGAGAGCTGCGAGTCTAGAAATAAGTGTCAGGCTTCACTGATCACTCATGTCACTCCTTAGGCCGAGTGCTATTTGAGGGGCCTGTGCAGGGTAGGGGGTGGTCCCAGTGCCTGGAACCATGCCTGTGTTGCAGTAGACACATTTAGTAAGAGTATGGAGAGGTTCTGTGGCTCCTGAATTCAGAATCCTCAGGTAACTGAGGCCAGAGTGAGCGCCTGTTCAAGCGTGTGCAGAATAAGGGGACAGCAGCCACGGCACATTCCTAGGTGCCCGCACTTCAGATGCTAGTGGAGGCAGCACAGCCCGAGACACCCACAGGCTGGAGGGCATGGCCTTGAAGGCAGGGATCGAGGGTCCCCAGAGAAGCTGAGAGGAGAAAGGGAAGCATCCTCGTGGGCAATGAGGAGTGGGGCTGTGGACAGCAAGGCTTTCTGGCCACCCAGAGAGGCTCTGGCATCCAGGGCTTTTATGGACCAGGAGGTGCTACAGGGACTTTTTTCCCCATCACAAAGCAGGGACAGAGAGATGTCTTCGTTGCCTCTTTGCCTGGTCTGCCCAAAGCACGATGTGAATTAATGCTGGATCCTAGAGGGAATGTCCCTGAGAACTCAGCCTCCTAGCTCATCTCTGGAGATCCCATCTTGCCTCATCTATGTCGCAGTGTTGTTAGCAGATGTCAGAGCAAAGCACTGTGACCTTGGCCAGTGCCCCTACACCACGTGTTTCCTCACTGGCAAAATGATGGCTGGGTTAAGAGAATTCTCTCCCTAGAAGTGACGAAGTCGAGAACAGAACCCGGTGCCTGGAAGGAGTAACTGGTCCATCACAGCAACTAGTCGGCCACGTGAGGCTGACTCCAGGGCCTTCACTCCTCCCAGGACAAAGGTGCAAGACTTGGTATAACACTCTGAGGCCATCAAAAGACTAAAAATTCTCCTGTAAATCACTTCGAGAACAAACTCTCAAACCGCATTCCCTAGACGTTCTTCTCAGTCACAAAGGTAACACGAATTCCATGGCGGTGCAGCTGTGACGCCACTACCTGCCATCTCAGAGAGACGCTTCAGTTAGAACACACACTTTCAAACAAGATAAAACTCGGCTCAGATTCAAGTCTGAATTTATCCAAATCATTCCTTCTACCTCTTAATTTATCTACAAATTTAACCTAGAAAGCAAAACCTGAAAATAGCTTTCTGTATATGCCACTCACTGCCAGAAAACACTCCCTTTCCTAAAAAAAATTTAGGAAATACCGCAGCTGTGATTTCAGATCACACCAGGGAGGAGATCCTCTTGACTCAGGTGCAGCCCGCCCAGGGAAGGGGTAGGTAAGGAAGCCTGAGCGCTAGGCAGAGGCGCTGGAGGCTCAACAGACAAGCCGCAGCACCTTCCTGGCTTGATGGTCCCTTTCAGCGTGAGCTCCCCAGTCCTGGCTCACATGACGTCCATGCAACAACCAAAGCAAGATGCCAGAGCCGTGTCGGCCCCTTCAAGAGAGAACACACACATCTGCTTACAAACTGGACAGAAGCCTTTATTCACAACTTTTCATAATTCACTTTCTAAAAAGACACGGACCGTGGGACACAGTGAAAACCTCGGGGGGGCCGATGCCAGCGTCTTCCAGGCGGGAGCAGAGCCGTGCTCACTCGAGGGCTGATGTCTCCGGGGCTCTCAGGCAGCACGACCAGACGCACCGCTACCGTCCAATCCTGTTTTACTTAGAGCCACCTCCTTTTTTGGGGCCATCAGTCCTTATTTCATGCCAGATTTTCACTAGAGGCTCCCTGTTCTTCCAAATCAGTTCATGACCATAAGTAACATACCATCTGGAGGAAAGAAAAACAGCCAGGTCCCACATTCAAACAGTGTCACACACAAGTGGCAGGGAGATAGCTAAGCTGACATTTTAAAATCGAACGACACTCACTGTGCAGCCTAAAACTGATTCACGTAGAGAAACGACCTAGCTTTAGTATTAGAATAGGTCAAAGGCAGAAGTAGGATGTGGCGGTGGCTGCGTGCTCTGCCACATGTAAGTACCTCACACATACTGCTTTTCATTCGCCACTACCTGCAAGTTAAGTCTCACTTCTCCTGCTGCAGACATGAGGCGATCGGGCCTGAAAGAAAGCAGCTTGGCCAAGGTGCTAATGCTTTCTAAGTGGTCAGTCAAGGCTCACTCGCAGGTGAGACTGACTCGGTGTCCAGAGGCGTCAGAATTGGCACTGAGGATGGCATCCCAGCTTACGGGGCTCCCGTCATCTTCCTCCTCGCTACACCAAGGGTGGGCTGCTCAACCAAACTGCGCCCCACTTTAACATCCACAGTTCTGATCCTCTCCCCTGTTCTCAGCAGCCTAACTGTGGCCTGAAGCATGAGCCTGAGAACTCCGCTTGCTCAGGCCCCAGCTAGGAAACGGCAGATGGAGAATAGAACCCAGCTTTGAAGCCTGTGCCGTGAGCCCTGGACTGCTCTGCCACGTGCAGGGAGCCGGGAGCACCTCCTATGAGCTGAGCAGCACGGCGGGCACTGAGGAGGGCCTGCCTTGGAGAAGCTCCTGGGGGAACTGGGGGTGTAGGAAGGCTTCCTGGAGGATGTGGGGCGGATTCCCAATGGCAGTTAGTGAGAGCGTGTTACTGACACCTTTGTTTTCACTCTGGCTTCCGCAAACAGATTCCACATTCCCTGAGGCAGAGACCAGATTTTGTCACCTGGCATCTATCTATGATTGAAAAAATGCTGTTTGACTTAGAGTGGACCAAGATAGCAGTTTAATGTTTTAATATTTTTAAAAATGTTTTGAATGTGTATGATTTATTACAAAGGGCTTGATTTGTACCTGAATCTTAATATTCACTACAGTGAAAATCTGATTATATACCTTAATTAATAGGCATGTAATGAAATTCTCTGTGATTAAAGTAAGTCTCTGGTGAACTTAGAACAAGAGAAAAAGGAGCACCCTAATATTCAAATGCAATTGTAAAAATTCTCCCAAAAAAACACTTTGTTACGAACCTTCTTCCCAAATCTTTTTTTTTTTTTTTTTTTTTTTTTGGTGAGGCAGAGTCTCGCTCTGTCGCCCAGGCTGGAGCGCAGTGGCACACACTCGTCTCACTGCAACCTCCGCCCCCAGGGTTCAAGCGATTCTCCTGCCTCAGCTTTCTGAGTAGCTGGGATTACAGGCATGCACAACCACACCTGGCTAATTTTTGTAT